CCACCTTGAAAAGTGAGATAAGAGGCAATACGTGCTCATATCTTGGTATCTAATTTTTATTCCTGATCAGTAGTAGCAACACTGCTGTGCCATTTAATTACACTGTTCTTTTTTTGAAGACCTAATTTGTATGTTGACACAAATGCAGAATAGATGAGAAAATCTGGCATGCCTGTGAATGTTCTGTTGTATAATATGTGCTTTTCTTAATTGTTTTTAACACGCAGTTAGGATAAGTTGTTATAAATGTGTTTATGGCTTACCACATGTTAGATAAAATCAAATCCCAACATTTTATCATGGTTAGCATTGTATATTTCCCCATCATTTGTATTATTTAATTTGTAGGTCTGATTTCTAAAAATACACCCCAGAGACTGTTGGGCTTTCTGGTGCTTCATGGAGTAGAAGGATATTGAATGTGAAAGAGACTATCTTCTTTCTCAGTTTCATGGTAGCACAGTAACCCGATAAAAGGCCACCCTGGGAATTAATGAGCTAAGCTGTCATTCAGGATTCATTCAACAAATATTTATTAGTTCCTTCTACATGCCAGGCATGGTGCTAGGTACTGAAAATACACAAAAGTAAAGAAGATGGCCCTTGACCTAAAGCTGCTGTACAAGCAGAGGCTGGATAGCCACTTGTCAGTGATTTTGAATAGGGAATTCAGACGTTGGCTAGGGGACTGCACTAGGTGATCTTTAAAGAGGGTTTCTTTAAAATCCCTAGACTGTGATTCTGTTAGTTGGATTGTGTGAGATTAGAAAATAAAATAAAGGGCAGAAATTAGGGATGGATATTTAAAATGCTAGCAATTCTTTATGGAGGCATCTGAAGTTTAGAGATGATAGAAAATAGAAATATGCACTGGCTTTGGATCATGAATAAAATAGTAAAACTTAAATCAAGCTTTGAAATGAACTTGATCAAAATTGAGTCAGATTTCAAGTCAAGAAGTTTAGAACTTGCTATTCAGGAGATTTGAGATTCCAGATATCTATAATAGAAGAAACTTTCGGGGCGCCTGGATGGCTCAGCCGCTAAAGCTCTTGACTTTGGCTCAGGTCATGATCTCACGGTCTGTGAGTTCGAGCCCCGCGTTGGCTCTGTGCTTACAACTTGGAGCCTGGAGCCTGCTTCAGATTCTGTGTCTCCCTCTCTGTCAGCCCTACCCCCACTCACGCTCTGTCTCTCTCTCTCTCTCAAAAATAAACATTAAAAAAATTCTTCAGAAAAAACTTTAGAAAATGTCTCAATTTTGGTAATTTTAATTAAAAAAAACTGAGAAGCAATTGATATCTTGGGCAGTACATCCAGAATTATTTGGGATATATAACTGATTTAAAGTGGAGCTTGCTTTATTTTCTAAATAATGAGTTTAACAAATGACTTCTAGAAAAGAAATTCCGATTTAATTGAAGCTGATCTATTTTTTTTAATGTTTATGTTGACAGAGAGGGAGAGTACTTGTGCATGCGTAGGTGTGGGGCAGAGAAGGGGAGAGAGAGAGAGAGAGAGAGAGAGAGAGAGAGAGAGAGAATGAATCCCAAGCAGACTTCGATCCACACTCAGCACAGAGCCTGACACCAGGCTCGATCTCATGACCCTAAGATCATACCTGAGCTGAAATCAAGTCAGATGCTTAACCGAGTGAGCCACCCAGGCACCCTAGCTGATCTTACATTTCATTGATTTGTTACAGTGAGCTTTTCCATGCTTATTAACACCTTGTCATATAGTGTTTTGGTGAAAAATGTTCTGCCTAAATGAGTTTTCTGGATGATGAAGCTACTCTTTTCAGCACTGTGTTCTTAAAAACTTTAACCTTTTTGCTGAATTCTAAAATGTCTTAAATAGTTTTCAGTCTTTCTAAGTGGTAGGTATGTATGTATACAGTGTAGTATTTATATCTGGTATAAGTTATAGAATATAGTTTAATTATGTCATGTTAACTCAAGACTTTTTAAATATCAGTTTCTGTGCTCTGTTGTGAAGGTAGGGGACAAGTGAGCTTTATTAAATTATTTGCCCTGGTCTGTGATAAAGCCCTTAGATTGTCTTGCTTTTTGAATTAGTGTTTGTGTTTGCATTTTGTAATTCTCCTTAGGCTGTCGATTGTCACCTGGCATCTATTATTTAGTATCGTTGTTACCAGCAATATCCTTTCTAATTTACTTGTAGAACTAAGTTATCTGAGAAACTATGTAAACAAGAGATTGGCTTATTTTATAAATAAACATGATTTTGCCTCAGATTCTGAACTTTAGAATTGATCGGGATTGTGAGGTTGTTGTTGTTGTTTTGTTTGTACTCTTGTAGAGAGCCTAGGGTCCCCTCACTGAATACTCAATTCTTAAATCCTTTGAAAATCTCTTTATTTCCCCTAGTCTTGTGGTCTTGTTAGTTTTTCAAATTACTTGTTCATTCTTTTTTTTTTTTTAAGTTTATTTATTTATTTTGAGAGAAAGCATGCGCTTGAGCGCCTGCAAGCAGGGGAGGAGCAGAGAGAGCAGAAGGCTAGAGAATCCCACGCAGGCTCTGTGCTGCCAGCGGGGCTTGAACTCACTAACCGTGAGATCATGACCTGAGTGGGTCTTGATCTCATGAATCGTGAGATCATGCTTGAGCTGAAGTCAGGTGTCAGATGCTCAACTGACTGAGCCCCTCAGGTGCCTTCCTTGTTCATTCTTAACCAAAATGTTGGCCTCCTACAAATAGAAGTTACCATATTTTTATTTTTGTGGATTAAAAAAATTGTTTTTAATGTTTATTTTTGAGAGAGAGCGCGCGTGTGTGCGTGCGTGTGAGTGGGGGAGGGGCAGAGAGAGAGGGAGACACAGAATCCAAAGCAGGCTCCAGGCTCTGAGCTGTCAGCACAGAGCCCGACGCGGGGCTCGAACCCACGAACTATGAGATCATGCCTTGAGCCGAAGTCGGATGCTTAACCAATTGAGCCACCCAGGTGCCCCATCTTTCTCAGTTTCTGAACCTCACTTTTCTAATGTGTAAAATGGAGATCATGATACCTACTTAATGTAAGTTACTGTTAAAATTAAGTAGGATGTATAAAGTTCTTATCAGGTAGATGCTCATTAAGTAGCCAAAAGGGTTTACCTTCTTCTTTGCCTTTATTCACAGGTACAGTTTATGAGGAAGTATGGTTTACTGATAAGTGTTAGGCAAAGTAGTTTAGCCTGGCAAACTTTTGTGGTGCTTGTGTGTTTGTTTTTTGTGATGTTTATTAGAGATCAGTTGCCTGTGAAAGGAAGGGAGTAGGGGCAAGACTGGGTAGAGGGAAGGTAAAAATGTGCAATGCAAACCCATCACTGTTTCATCCAAGTTGGTACGGAGCTGTGGAGTGAATAATGCCCATTTGAGTTGTGCCGTAATAGGATAAATTGGCTGCTCTTTGGACTCCTACCCCCCTCACATCAGTCACCATATTAGCTGCATGACCCGGCTTTGAGAAATTTCCTCACAAGCATGGGCTGCTCAGGTACTATGCTGAATTCTTGAGGTAGACCCTCCACAGATCTGTGGAGTTCTCTCTGGGCACCTTTCTCTGTGCTGCAGACTCTATTTGCCTTGGTCTTTCTGACATTCTACTCCTCCACTCAGGTTACTCTGTGAGGCTCTGCTTGGGTTCCCTTATCTTTTTAATTTTTTTTTTGTTAACATTTCACTATACTTCTTTTATTATATATCTACCTATTCATCTCTCTATCAATTCACTTTTCTTCTCCTCCAGTTTTATTCAGAAATAATCGATATCATCACTAAGTATAAGGCATACGGCATGATAGTTTGATTTGCATATATTGTGAAGTGAATTACCACAGTAGGTTCAGCTAACATTCATCCTTCTAGTGTAGTCTGTCTTGGTTTCTGAGGCGCGATGGGGCGCTTCAGCTTCACCACCCCCATCCCCTGTGTTACAGCATTCTCTCACTGGTGACTTGCCCTTGAATAGATGTTAGTTGTTTTTCTTGCGCGTGGCGGGGGTGGTGGGCAAAGTCAGGAACAACCTATGTTGCCATCTTAGTGACCTCACTCCCCTGGCAAATATTTGTTGCTATAGAATGCCATCTAATCCATTAACAAATACTGTAGGGAAAGGGTATATTCTAGCTGATTGTAGCAGCAAGAAGGATCGGAACTTACCAATGCTGTACATTTGTAAGGTGCTATTTAAAATGGATTTAAAAAATAGATTCCAGCAGTGCCTGGCTGGCTCAGTGGGTTAAGCATCTGACTCTTGATTTC